TATGCCCTGGAGAACCAGTGATCTGACAAGAAACCCTTCCTCAAGTCCCAAAGAACATTGACCGGGCTGTAAATGTGGACAGGTGTTCTGGAAGCCCCAACAGTTTTTGGGTTTTTTTTAATCTTATTGGGGAACAGCCATGGTCATTGGTCATTGTAGCTTTCATGCTACAATGGCATAGTTGACTCTTTTAGGGAGGGCGCAGCTCACAGCAGCCCAAGTGGATATTGAACCGGCAACCTTGGTGTTATCAGCACCAGACCCTAACCAACTGAGCTAACCGGTCACCCTCCCAACAGTTTTCATGTCAACCTTCACCACAAGGATGTTTGCGAGACTAATTTGGCACTCCCACATGGAGTGCTGAAATGGAAGCTTTCTGAAAGGTAGTGGCATTTAGGGTCCATGTCATTTCACATTCATGTCTTGACCCAAGTTTGCAAACTAGATTTCAGTTTCCCTAGACCTATTCTGTTCAGTACAGTAGGTACTAGCCGCATACAGTGATTTACATATAAAATGTGATTAATTAAAAATAAAATTTAAAATTCAGTTGCACTAGCCACATTTCAAGTTCTCAGTAGCCACATATGGCTACCATATTGGAGAGCCTAAATAGAGAACAATTCCATTGTTCCAGAAAGTTCTATTGGTCAGTGCTGACCTAGACTATTTGGGGATTTTGGCACTAGAATATGATTTCCCGAGGATACTATTTCCATATTATAGGTTGCAAATACCATGAAGACCCCTGAGTAATAGATTATCAGTGAATTGACTCTCCTCTAAACAAGTTATAAAAATCAGATGAAGGAAGTTTTAAAGCATCATTACCAATGAGTAAAATATTTGGGGATCTCAAGTCTTCTTTTAAAAAAAAGTTATTTTTAATCCCCAAATAGTGGTATTGTAGTTAATCATCTCCTTAACAGGTTGGTCCCCAGAAACCAAAATCATTTTCCACTGTGTGTTGTTGTGGGTCTCTGACCCAAAGGAACGCCCACTGAGTACCCAAATTCCATGACAACTGGTTGGTTTAACTTAAAAAAAAGTTTGTTCAGTGGAGAAAAAATGACGCCAGTGGTCAGTACTGGTAGCAGCATATAACCTGGAAAAAAAAATTGTTCTAAAAAAATAAGTACTTTGGCAAGTGGCTCAACTCTAAAGCCTTTAATTGGGAAATGGTGAGGTGTCCGGCATGCAGCTCTCAGAATGGGAGAGAATCGAGCTGTGCTGTTGGACCCCAGGATGGCTCCCGGCTAAGTCCGGTGCTTTATGGGAAGGAAACCGATGCGATGTCTGAAGCAGTAGCCACGAGCCACATGTGGCTGTCGAGCTCCTGAAATGGGGAGGTCCAAACTGAGATGTGCCGTAAGTGCACAGTGCACCCTAGATTGATAAGCCTTAGTATAAAAAAAAAGGAAAGTGACCAAGCTCATTAATGTTTATATTAATTACATGTTGAAATGAAAATATTTTTAAGGCATTGGGCTAATACATAAAATCTATCATGAAAATTAATTTTACCTATTTCCTTTCACTCTATCGTGTGGCTACTAAAAATTTGCAGTTACTGCCGTGGCTCACCTCGCCTTCCTCTTGAGCGGCATCATTCCACACCACGCTAGCCTTCCCTTCATCTTGAGCCTTATTATGCCCAACCTGCTGTAGAAATAGCCATTGTGTCGACAGTTTTTGTTTTCCTATCACCTGATGAGTCATTTTCAAACCACTCTTTGGACCACCTCTGTAGCCAGTTTGATTTAAGCATTTGGGGAGGGTCGGGAGTACCAGCCTGACAGGGCTCTGGCTTAGAGTTTTCCAGATTCAGGTCCCTAAAAGGCAGTTAGAAACTCCAGATTTTAGCTTCTATTTTTCAGTTCCTCAATTGAAATGACAATGTCTTCATTTGCAGTTTTTCCGAAATCCAGCAGAAACAGAGAACCAGGTAAGACCCCTGTAGACTGTGCAGAGGGTAAACTGCATATCATGCGCTAGAACCGGAGTGGACTTCATGTCCAGTGCCCGTCACCTAGGGAGCCAGAGTCTGCTTGCCTGTCAGTTGCCTGGACCAGTAATCAGTAACATCAGCAGATACACTAACCCCAGTTCATGAAGCGCCAACCATGTGCCAAGCCCTGGGCTAGCCACTCTCTACACATCATCCCAGTGAGCCTTGCATCGGGGTATCAGCACCACGGGCTTAGAGACAGTGGTTGTGACACTCAGAGGAGTCAAGTCCCATTGCTAATAATGGGAGCTGGGATGCAAATCCAGGGATTCAGACCCCGAGGGTGATACTGTTCACCACTGCAATATCCCTCCTTCTCCCATCCCAGCAACATGGGCCAGGGACTGGGTTCACTTCAGGAGCCAGGGTCAGAGCTGGGCCTGTATCACAAACAAAAGATAGGACACCGACGTAATTAATGATGGCAGCGTCGGCCCCAGAAGGCCTCTTCCTGGCAGATCCCACTGGTGGTGGGAGGCAGGGCCCCATGAGCTGGGCTTTGAGGGCCGAGGGGAAGATGAAGGGCCCGGGGCTGTAGAGGGCAGGGGAGGGGGTGGCAAATCATCCACTTCGGGGTAGCAAATGTGAGAGGGCTGCAGGAAGGCAGGGCTGGACCAGCAGGGTGGGCCAAGCAGTGACATGGAGAGTTGCCAAGAGGTTTCGGCCTTTTCTTCAGGGGAACCACTGAGGATTTTTGAGCAGAGCTACACTTTGGAAAGATTGCTCTGCTGGCAAAGCATAGGGTGAGTTCATAGACAAGAGGCCGGAGATGGGGACATGGGTTTGTGGATAAATGGAATAATAATGCAGCCAAGCAGAGAGGGCCTGAATTAGGGGGTCACAGCAGAAATGAATATAGAAGGTTAGGTTTGAGAGAAAGCGTGGAGATGGTATTAACAGAAGTTCAGCTGGGAGGGCAGGCTCCGGTGCCAGAGTTCCTGGGCTTAAATGCCAGCTCTGTCTCTCATAGGCCTCGGACTAGTCACGTAAACTCTCTCTACCTCAGTTGTCTTCTGTGGAAAATGGGCATAACATTAATACAGAAATAGCCATGATCATATACGTAATAATAACATAGACATAACAACGTGTAGAAACGAATATAAGTCAAATGCTTAGAATAGTGACTGGTTCATAATATTGCTCAGAAAATGTTAGCTAGGATAATTATTAGTATTCCTCAAAAAAGAAACCAAAAGCAACAGGAATTCTGACCTTTGGTGCCCAAAAGATGGTGGCGTTACCAGGCATGACAGAGGAGTCAGACAGGGCTCTTCTTTGGGAAGAAAAATGATGAATTTCTGCTTTGACAGTTTGGGGTGCAGGCCCACTCCTTGGGTCGTAACGTCTGGCACATAATTGGAGAAGTGGTTTTAGGGCTGGGGCTGGAGTTACAGATTGGGGAGTGTCTTTATCAGGACAATAGCCGGTGCCCTGAGCAGCTGAGGTCACCGGGAAAGAGGCTGGAGGCCGTCGGGTGGTGGGAAGAGATGGAGGAGCAGGTGGGAGCAGTCCAGGAGGACCAGGTGGCGCCCTGTTGGCGATCTGGAGTGAGGAGGCCCGTGTTAGAGCTGCAGAGAGGCAGGGAGACGGGTCAAGAAAGCCCTTTGTAAGTGGTGGCGTGGGGGTGAAGCAGGGATTGCTGTGCAGCAGGGAGGGCCTGGGTGAGGCAGGACCAATGGATGGACTAGGACGTTTCCTTTCTCCCCAGCTGCGGGGTGGAACAGTGACCAGGTTACCTGGAAGGCAGCTGTGACAGGAGGCTGGGGGCAAGGATTCCAAGGACTCCAAGCTCAGCTAGTCATGGGGTACAGGCTGGGCAGAGGTAGTGATGCCATGAGAGGTTGATGGGCCAGGAGGCCATGTGGAGAGGGGCCGGACAGCAATCCAGCAAGTACAGGTGTGCTGAGGTGAGGAGCAGGTGTGCTAGCAGTGAGGCGGGGAGAGGTGGAAACAAGTGGTGATGGTCAGAGGTGGGGCATTTCAGCTGTGAGGCGGGGTGTGTGAGTGCCAGGTGAGAGCAAAGGCCCAGGTGGGCCTCTGCTGAGATCCGGGTGATTGCAGTGGAGGCGTGGTCATCACAGACAATGGCAGTGAAGGTCGTTCAGGGGAGGGCTGAAGACAAAGCTCCAAGAATTGGAACCTCAGTTTGAAGGGGCTTGTTGAGACAAGGCTGTAGCTTTGGGTTTTAGCTGATTTCCTCTGAGACAACACAAGATCATCACCACAGAAGTGAGTAAATAGGAAGAGAAGCCGAGCTGGAAAGAAAACCGTGCCCAGGAGATTCATGTGGCAAAGAAGGAAATGCTGGAAGGGGTGGCCGTTACAGGTAGACTTCAGCTGCACTCCAAGACTGAGTTGGTTTGAAGAGATAGGATTGTTAATGAGTGCTGCGCACTGGATGTAATGTTCCAGGTGGAATTCCAGCTACCATCACACGAGGGCCCAAGACCAGTCTCCCTCCATCTCTGCTCCCTAGCACCCTTGCTTTTGATGGGCTTATTACAAAAAGGCAACTCATTAGAATAGGAGGATACTTAAGACTCTTGGTCTGCAACACAGATTGAGGGCATTTTACAAGTTACTAATATGACACGTTTCTTTTTAGCTCCACTTGATTGATAATAGAAGATGGAATCAAATCCTCAGGCAAGAAGTCATTTCACAGACTTTACAAAACGTATCTGCTTCACCACTCAAATATTACATCATCTGTGAAGAGGTTTCGAAGTCTTACTCCAGGCAGTCCTTCATCAGAGGTGGTGTGTTTAGAAGAAATGCCAGTAAACGAACAAAAAGTATTAACGGCTGCTCTGTCGTCTGGAACTTTATATGACTAGGTGCTCTTTTTTTTTTTTTTCATCGTAAAATTTGCCGAGGAGGGCTATACATGCTTGTAAATAAATGTAAATAAGTGTACATAAGTAACTAGGCGGTCTGGCTCTATTTTCCTATTAAATCAGAGAAATAAAATTGTCAGATGCCTCAGGAAGTAAAGGCTTTTTACTGAAATCTATACTGCACTTCTCTTTTGTTTTTAAGGAAAAATAATTCATTGCAGGATCAGTAGTGGAGCAAAGGAGAAAATGGACAAAGCACTTTCACTCGGGGGGGTCTGTTGACAGGAGGCAAAGACCACATCCCCACCATCCAAATGCAGGTGTAGGGCCCAGGTGGGGCAGGGAGATTTGTCTCATTAAGATCCCTTACCCACTTACTGTATTGTGCTAGCTGTCACCCTGACAGGTAAACAGCAGAGAACTCTTTAGAAGTTGTCATGTACTAAAGCAGGACAGCACGCTCTCCTGAATACGGAAGTGGGTGGCCCTGACTGTCCCCCAGGCAACCGTCATGGAAACCTGAGCCTCCGGAGCCTCCAAGCCGAGGCCTTAGCTCCTGAGCCCACCCTGCCCCTGGGCTTCCTGACACGGGAGAGTCTTCAGCTTGAGTGTGGAAATAAAGCTTTCTCACTTCAAGGCAGGTACGTGAAAAGGGCCCCCGGGAGACAGCTCCGTCTGGGCTCCCCATCGCCATCAGCAAGAGTGAGTCTCCTGGGAAAACCCCACTTCTCCCTAAGTCGCCCCACCTCCGGGTGGCATAGCTTCCTCCCAAAGTGTGTCTCCAACTAATCTTGTCAAAGCCTTTATTCCAGGGCCCCTTCTGAGCCCGTCCATCAGCAGAATTCTGCCCGTCCTCTTCTGTGAATGTTCCCTGTACATTTCTGCTCTTACTGACACCTGGTTCTCCCTCTCCAGGGGCACCTGTCCCCTCCGCTGTGCCCTGTACCCTGGGCCAGAAGGAGGGAGGATGTCCTCTGGTTCCGCTCTGCTTCCAGACCATTGCTCCTTCCTCAGCGTTGGCGACCATGCCAGCAGGTCACCACAATCCGACACCCATTTTTCTGCTTATCCTCAGCCCATGCAGATTTTAGCACCTGGTCCAAATCACTCACACTTAACACTGCTCCTTTCACAATCTGAGTGTTTTCAAAACCTACAAATGCAATAAAAAAAAATACCCTGGCATGGTCCCCCTCAAGAAGATCTTGTCTCTCCCTTCTCAGCAGCCGCTGCCCTGGTTCTGTTTCTGATCTTTCCATGACCCATGCCTGCAGGCCCTCCGCGGTCCCGGTTACAAGCATGGCCACTCTACCTTCCCCATCACTCCCTCGTGGGCCCCACCTCCGACAATCCCGCAGCCCCACCAGGGCCTGCAAGCCAGCGACGCCCCACCTTTTTGCTGGCCCTCAAACCCCTTGCCTTCTCCTCCCTGCCCACCTGGGATCCCCATTGTTCATCGTTATCATTACTCCTTTATGCTCATTCTTTTACCCTCTCACTTGTCGTTCTCATTTGGCCAAATCCCAACCACGATTATGGTTACCTCTGCCAGTTCCCTCCATGCACCCAAGCTGCACAGCCAGGAGAAAAATGCTCGGCAGGCTGATCGTTTCATTTCCATGACCACAGACCTCGGATTTATGGTGTTTCTGGTCCATTCACTGTCTCCCCGTCGCTCTTCTTAGACCTGTAACCCTGTGTCCTCACTCTCAGCTGCTCACCTTGCACCCCATGTCACTGAAAACAATGAGACCCCTCGGCCTCCCTCGGCGCGTTTACCCCACTCTGCCTCCTGTTACTGTGGACGAACTCGCCTTGCTCCCCCGAAAGCCAGTCTCTCTGCTTGTCTTAGTCTGCTGGGGCTGCCATAGCAAAAAAAGAGACAATTTTTTTGCACAGTTCTGGAGGCTGGGAAGTCCAAGATCAAAGGTGCCAGCTGTTCTGGGTCCCAGTGAGGGCCCTGTTCCTGGCTTGCAGATGGCCGCCCTCTCACTGTGTCCTCACATGGCAGGGAGAAGACTCTATAGTGTAGCTCCTTCTCCTTATCAGGGCACCAGCTCTGTTGGATTAGGTCCCGCCCTTATGACCTCATTGAATCTTTAGCACCTCCCCACAGGCCATATCTCCAAATATAGTCATGTTTGGGGGTTAGAGTTTCAACATAGGAATTGTGGGGGACACAGCATTCTGTTGATGACATTACGTATGCATAGGATCCCACCCTTCTCCCTCACCTACTTAAGGACATCACCCTTGTCACTGTTCACCTCTCTCCCCCATCACCAATTTTTACCTTTCTCCTGCATCATACAAACACTGCGGGAGACCAGCTCCCACAGGTCCAGGGGTTCCCTCAGGTGGAGATGGCGTCAGGGAGGAAAAAGGGAAAAAAACGCGTGGAGACACAGGAGCGCTTTTTCAAGAGGTGAAGTGTCTCACTTTATTTTACAGCATGCCCATTTTTATGCCGGGCAGTTAAACCATTGTTCCATTAGTATCAGGGTTTTACTTCCTCATAATTCTTATGCTCCAGGGTACAGCCATACCTTTTCTATGCTAAAGACTAACTTATCTTAACTAAGTCCAAATCCCTCCACCTACAATGACTGCGACCAAGGCCTGAGCCTCTACATAATCGCCCAAAGGATGGTTACCATGACCACCCAACATTTATTCTAAAAACTATTGTCTAAGCAGGATCTTAAGATTTACAGTGTGTGTACTTTGACCTTTACTAAAAGATTAGTAGTGTGACTAAAATTGCCTTTAGTGTATAAAATAGAATTATTGTGATATATCTATTAGAAGGGGAATTTAAATTTTCTAAGATATAAAACAGTATCTGTTTCTCAGAGCTTCAGAAGTTGTCACAATTGTGGTGCGCTTGGCCATGTCATACTGAGGTTGGCAGCCGGCTCCCAACAAAACGCACTGCCATTTCTCACATCTTCAAAAAAACCAAAGTGCTCTTGATCCCACTTCCCCGTTCAGCTCTCCTCTCATTTCTCTGCCATCTTCTATAGAAAAGTTCCTTGGAAGTGTGATCTGTTCTTCCTTTTACTGGCTCTTCTCCCGTTCTTTCTGGAACCCACTTCCGTCAGGTCTCCATCCCCACTCCTGGTCAAGGTTACCAGTGACCCCCTCATCCTAGTATCCAGCGGTTAGTTTGGAGGCCTCGTCTCACTGGCCCGTCAGCAGCAGTTGGCACAGTGGCACCTCCCACATACTTGTTTAGCGCTTGGTAGGGACGAGAATAGGTGTGAGATGAAGGACGCTCGGAGCAGGACAGGATGAGTGGACCTGAGAGCGCTTGTGGTGAGCACACTAAGTCCTAACGCAAGTCTGTGCAGCGAACGGAGGAATTACAACCCTACGATCAGCAATTCCATGCCTTGGGGATACCCAAGCGATAGGAAAACAGGTATCCACACAAAAACTTGGAGCAGGAATGTTCACTGCACTCTAAGGAAACTAAAAGGAGAATGCATTAAGCGTGTACAAAAGTCAGGGTGGGACAGAACTCCCAAAATAGACTATTTCCAATGACAGGAACTTGGCTCTAAGTCACACTGTCGGTAAAGGAATGTACATTGTTGTATGTTGGGTTAACAAAAATGTTATATTTATATNAATTCTGATTATGGTGAACTACTGCTACATAAATCACATCAATTAAAATGTGTGTACATTTTTTTGGTACCCTCTCTGTAGATATACTATATACATACACTTACACATATATGCATGCGTGTATATATACATACATATGCGTATATATACATATGTGTATATATACATTCATACACATATATATATATTAGAGTCATTAACATTGAACTCATGAGCAATAGTGCTATAACTCCTGCCGGAATGAAGCTTCTCTGTCACAGAAATTTTCTTTGTAAGGGACATCACGGCCTTCTTGTGCATAAGACTACTAACCAGCATTTTAGCACTATGCTTTGAGGCCATTTTAAACCAACAAAAAGCACAAAAATGTGAAACAGATGACACTAAACAGGCCATGAATGGAACACTTGTTGATGGTACGAGCACTGGGACAGGAAGGCGGAGCATTGCCCTGTTCAGACTCAGCCAGGACCTGTGCATCAGGCAGCTGAGATATTTCACCATCCTGCACGTGTCCACAAATGGCCAAGAAGGTGCTGCGAGTATTGATTTGGGGGATACAAATAATACATTTTAGCAAGTAGGTAAATTTCAAATACAGAATCTGCAAGTAAGGAGGGTCTGCTGTGTCTCTATTTTGATTAGTTCAGCTACATGTATTTCTTTTTTCTTACAGATCTTTCAAGGCATAGATATTTACTTATACCAGCGTTTGTACTGTCAGCAAGTATTGTCCTAATTTTAAAAGGTATGTATACTTTCCTTAAAAAAAAAATCATATTTTCAAACTTGAATTGGTGTTTCAAAGACTAGAAAATGAATAGTGTGACGAAGAAAACAAAGTTTGAAATTGTAGGTATTTTGAAAGACACAGAAACTTTTGTGTTTTACTGTTGTCTGGGTTATAGAGTGGGCTGGGTTCCTTCAAAGATTCTGCGTTATGTTAAGGTAGAATGACTCTTCAGGCAAAGGTGAGTTTTACAGGCTGGGGGACACAGCCATATATACCTGGAATCTGTTCCACAGCTGCCTCCTGGCTGTGGTCCACTTAGTTATACTTCTGGCCTCCAAGCCAGATTCTACAGAAGACACCTTACTCTTGGCTGCTGCAGTCGCAATGTCCTTTTCTTATGGCGCAGGAGGCGGTCCCAGGTAGGAAGGAGCTTTTGTTGAGTTAGGTGACTTGCAGTGGGTAATAATTACCTGCAATTACCTGCATTGTCTTCCTCAGTCCTGCGAAGATTTTGGACCAACCTAGAAAGCAACCTATATGCCCTGGAGAACCAGTGATCTGACAAGAAACCCTTCCTCAAGTCCCAAAGAACATTGACCGGGCTGTAAATGTGGACAGGTGTTCTGGAAGCCCCAACAGTTTTTGGGGTTTTTTAATCTTATTGGGGAACAGCCATGGTCATTGGTCATTGTAGCTTTCATGCTACAATGGCATAGTTGACTCTTTTAGGGAGGGNAGTTCTTAACCATCGCGCCACTCGGGCGGCCCTATATTTATATTTCTTACATCTCACACACATACTTTTACATTAATGCATAAATGTGATTACATTAAATGTGAGATATATATATGTTTGTTTTTTTAATTTTGGTGCGGTCTTTTTTTCTTCATTGGGTCCTCCCTCACTTTCTCCCATCACCTCCTACCACATGACTGTCCATCCTCCCAAAACCATGATGATCACGGGGCTGGATCCAGCCATGTTTTCCTCCGTGCTCGTGTGTGTTGGTGCATATACACAGGTGGGGGTGGGGAAGGGCGGCAGTACTTTTTTTTACAAAGGGGATAATTTTATACCCAGTTTCCTGCACTTTGCTTTTCCTCACCAATTATTCACCGGTGATCCCTGTGGTGTAGCTCCCATTTATTTATTTTGGAGTAGAGGAGCCTGTGCCTTTGCTGGCTGAGCAGTTGAGGGAGGGGAAGTGGGAGGACTGTGTCACCTGGGTAGTGGCCGATAGTCTCTGCCATTTCCACCTGGTTGACGGTCTTGCCGTGGTAGACGCCCACCATGCTGCCCACCATCTCCGGCAGGATGCTCACGTCCCGCAGGTGAGCCTACACCATCTCGAGCTTCTCCATGGGTGGGGCGGGGGGGCGCCTCCTTCTGGGCTTTGCGCAAGAGCTTCAGCAGTGAGTGCTGCCTCCCCGGCCGGCGCTGGTGCAGCCGCCGCCGCTGCGGGGCGCTGTGCAGCTGCTTCAGCTGCTCACTCCACATTGCTGTCCAGAGATGAGGGCCCCGAGGCAGGAGGACAGGCGTCTCAGGTGAGGTGGCGCAGCTGGAACCGTGGGCAAACCGCCGTGCTCCTAAAGCATGAGGAACCCTGGGGCCAACCCAGGGTACAGCAGCTGGTCAAGGTCCGCGCCGCGGTAGGTCCGATTCTCCACTTGGGCCCTTTGCCTGCTTTTCAGAAAGGCCGATTTATTCTTTTTAATGGCTTTTCCATTCCCTGGCATGTCGTAACATAGTTAAGTACTTCCCCTTTATAGGACATTCACTTTGTTTCTAGGTTTTTGTATGTTTTCCATCATAAGCAAGAATTCATTATACAGCCTTGTGCATATAGCCCAGCAGTCTGGTATTTTTATATCTATGGGGGAGATTCCCAGGAGTGGAACTGCTAGGTCAAAAGATATATGTATTTTAAATGTAATTTTAGTAGATATTGCCAGATTGCTTTCCAAAAAGCTATGTCATCCAAGAGCAATGATTAACCTTTTCCTGGATTCCCACCAGCAAGAGGTATTATCAGTCTTAAAATTTTGGCCATTCTGATAGGAGCAAAGTATCTCATTGTTATTTAAATTTACATTTCCCTGATTACTAGAATCTGAAAACTTCCCCTATGTTTTTTGGTCATCGGGCGTTGCTCTTCTGTGAATTGCCTGTTTGTGTCCTTTGCAAAATTTTGTGTTTTTGTTTTTTTTAATTCATTGCCTCAGTTAATTTTCCAACTAGCCCATCAGCTTCCATTCCTGTCCTGTTGGATTAGACTGAAATGTTATAAATATTGACATGTTGCTATCATAAACCATTTGAAATGAACAGAGGAAATGAAAGCTGCAAAGGGCGATAAAAATGATATGGAAGAAGAGGCTAGAAAACCCAGAGCAAAAGGAAGGATGAAATAAGAAACTAGGACTCTTGAGAAAATAGAAATGCTGTATCCCTGTCGTGCTCAAATTAGTATATGGTGAAAAAATACAGTAAAGAAAAGTGTTGGGGTGGCTGGGTGGCTCTGTTGGTTAGAGCGCATGCTCTGAACAACAAGGTTGCCAGTTCAATTCCCACGTGGGCCTGCCCTCTGCAACTAGATTGAAGGACGACTTGACTTGGAGCTGATGGGTCCGGGAAAAAACACACTGTTACCCAATAAAATAAAAATTTTAAAAAGTGTTGTATAGTATTCCACCATATGGGAATACTCACATTTATTAAAAAGAAAAGTCATGTTTAGGAAGGGTATGCATGCGCGCGTGCACACACACAGAGAGTCATTCATTGAACATTTACAATGTGTCAGTCATTGTGCTAAGTGCAGGCCTGCTGCATCTCACTCTTCACTGGGAGGTAAGTGGGACTATTATTCCCGTTACATTACTGCCATTATACAGATGGAAAAAACAGAGGCTCATAGAAGTGTAGTAACATGGTCAAGATTGCATTGGTCATAAGTGGTAGAACCAGGATTGGGGCCCAGGTCTGCTTGACCCCAAGCCCTTAGCTGGTAGATGACTGGTCCTGAGAACTATCCAGGAGCAAACTGTTGACAACGCTGATATCCAGGAGCTCGGGCCTAGATCGGGGTTTGAAGCAGGCCTGGGAAGGGGTTGCAAAGCAAGTGGAGAGAAGTTAGAAAAGCTAAAGCCTGGGTGGGGGTTTCCTGAGGAACTGGTGTGGTCATTAAGAATGGGGCCCTGAATTGGGGCGAGAAGGACTGGCAGAGGGAACAGAACAGTGCCCCACCCCGGATGTAAGCACCCAGAGGAATAAGTGACTCATCACATCCTTGGCTGGTATTCAGAGAGGGGGGGGGGAGGGAGAGGGAGAGAGACTCGTTCTTGCTGAATTCACAAGTTCTTTGACTTGTGAATTCAGCCTCTGGGTGACAAGGCCTCCTTAGGACAAAAGACTAAGAGGCCTTGTGTGACCTCCAGTGGAAGGTCATGGAAGTCATGGAAGCTCTGAGCCTGGTCAAACTGACTGCAAAATAAGGGTGATAATGAAGCAGGGCCCAGCTGGGCCCCCTGTGCTCAGAATGCCCCCAGGATGCCCTGTCCCTGTTCCTGCTCCTTATCTTAGAAGACCACCTGGTAGATGCTTGCTAATTACAAACTCCATGGATTAGCACTTTCCCAGGTTACTTACTCCCCCACCATTCCCAGATCACTGGCACCACAAGAGATACCAGAGGGGGGCATCAGGAAAGGAGAACAGACCTCCGGACAGTCATGCAGCCTCTGGGAGAATGCCCAGATTTTCCCTTAACTATCCCAGCCGATCTGAGACTAGGAAGGCAGTTTTTGGAGGTGTGAACCCACTGCCTTCCCAGACCACCAGTGCTCTGATAATAAACGCTTATTCTATGACCCAACTCCTGTGTCGATCTATTGGCTGAAGGGCACAGGTCGCAGGAGGCCCGGACTCATTTGGCCTCTGGCCACAGTAACACTCCCCCACCCACCTCGGGGCAGGTGAGTGAAATGGTGGTAAAACATAAAAAATATAAATGGTAATGTTTGTGAGGAGTTGGAGTGGCAACAATAGAAAAGCCTAGACTACCCATAGGAAGCAGTGAGAGGCCAGGGGGACACTGAGGCTGGTTCCATTTCAGCCACAATGAAGGGTGAGAGGGCCCTTGCTCTAGGTCCCCCATCTGGGAATATGGATGTTCAGTAGGAACCTTAAGTCCATGGGGCTCCACCCTCCCCTAGTGGACTTCTCCATCAGGGCGTCTGCAGGGAACAGCAGTACCTGTTCCACAGTGAATACTAGGGATGGAAGACTAGGGCACAACACATTTGGTGCTGGATAAACACTTGATGAATTTGAATTCACAGTTGAACTCCATTCTCCACGTTGGTTGTTCGCCTCCCCAGTGAGGGGAGAGGCAGATGACTTACGGATCTGCCGGATACTGTGCTGGTGCTCGCTCCACGGAAACGCCTCTGAACCAGCAGCCACCCTGGGAGGTGTCCATTGTTCTTTCTTTTACCAATGAGGCATGTGGTGCTCATGGTAAGCTGCCTCTCCAAGGTCTTCCCCTTAGAACCGGGGCCTGACACCCAAATCTATGTCCTAATCTGTTACACAAAACACACAGCCTATTCAAATCTAGTTATTTTTCTCACTGACAATGTGAGAGAACCTCAAGATACATAAGACATGCAGATGAGATAGGTTTCCAGCACAGTCTCTGCTGTCAGTGTTAAGTCATCTTGGATGACCCGTGATCACTACTGGCCTTTTTCTTGTCTTATACTCTGCCTGCATCCCCAGGTTGGAGAAGCTTAAAACCAGAACATACAAGGGACCTTCGAGGTCATTTCATCCAGCTTCTAGAAGGGAGGAAATGGAATTTCAGAATGTCAAGTGCCCAAAGTCACCCAGCAAGAGGCCTGAGCTCCTCCCCGTCTCTGTGCCCCTTTCGAGGAGCAGGTGTTGCAGACACAACGTGAAGGACAAGGGTGCATCACTGCCTTTTCCTTTGAACTGGACAGCTGGCCCACTGGACCAACACTTTCTTCTTCCAGGTCTGGGACATCTGATTGCTCAGAAATGAATGTTTCCATTGAAAGCAGAGGGAAAAAAGTC